TCTGGATCATGTCACTTTCTTGCGATGGAAAATCTGCAATCAATAGTGAATAATGTAATTCCATAGAAGGAGATAATCGTTATAATCGTTATTATTAAATCTTTAAAAATTCTAATGCATATGTATACAAACTTAATGGATCTGACGCTCGCTGTTACATATGCGCAATACACATATCATTTAATGAGTTGCGTCCTACAGCAACATTATTATTTTAAACGTAGCATTTCAGATAATTGCCGATCGAAGAATGCCATGGTTACTTTACGCCTAACACGTGATCCCTTTGGTTCTATTTCGCTACTTGTTACACCCCCTTTCAGTTTCAAATTAAAAGTCACCTAGTGCAAAATGACAACAAGAAGTCCATAGTGTGAACAAACTCATCGTTGAAAAGCTAACGGAACAATTATATTTATAATAGCTCTTCCAAGTTTACATAAATGCTAAAGTCTATATAAACAAGTGTATATTATACCTTCAATAATCTTTAGACTATAATCTATGACTTAATTATTGTTCTTCATAATACTTCGATGATGCTCAGCTCGTCGTCAACGTTTCAAAGAGAAACCAAAAGCAAAACACGGAAAAGATGGTGGCTATTCCACGCTACGGACTTTCAATCCTTGATGTATCCCTGCTTCACATTCTGCCGCATTCTTGGAACATTCCCGTACAAGATCAACGCTTCGACTTTGGAAGCTTCAAAACTACGTTACATTCTGTCGACCGTAATTGTTTGTGTTTTCTGTGTTTTGAACTTGACATTTATTTATAAGCATGGCATTTCTAAAAGCTTCAACTTCGGAGACGTAACCACAAATTTCACAGCTTTAACTTTCTTTACATTCTTCGGTTTTACTGCAATCATCACACATGTTTTGAACGGTCCACGAATGCGCTTGCTGCGAACCATAATGGTGATCTCATCGAGACTGCCTCCGGAGTCGTACAAGAAGTTATCCAGATTAATTCACGCCAAAGATATCTTTGGTTCATTTTATCTTATTGGGTTAATTCTTACATATTTCGATACATCCGTGGTACACATCATCGATATTATCTATTTAATATTTTCATCGTACACATATCTACATATGTTTGTAATGGATATGTTGTACATGAACTGTGTTTGTATATTAAAGGCCTGTTTCAAGGAAATTAATAATAATCTTCTGCACATGCAAGAATTTATAGTAAACAATAAATCATGTGTTTCCATGATGTTCTACTACAAGCAGAGAAATGCATTTCTGATAATGAACCTTAAGGCTCTGAAGAAGCAACATCTGATGATTAGCAACGCAGTGAAAATGTTAAACATAATTTTTAGTGTGCAACTTCTTGCTACGATAATCATAACCTATTCTCAATTCATACTTGGATTCTATTCACATTTGAAGTGGTATGATAGTTTGTTCAAATATTTCGATAAACAGCCGTATAATTTCGGTATGATATTCTTAATAACTGCCCTTATTATAAAAATGGTGTTACTTGTGTGGGCTTGCGAGACCGGCAAGAATCAGGCTCAAGAAATCCGTACCACGATTCATGATGTACTTAACATCAGCAGAAATGAGCAAATAAAAAATGAGGTAATAAAAGTGCAATTTATTTCGTATATTTTTCTTATAGCCTATTGCATGCTAATGTGGTTTGTACACGTTAAATCTGCTTGATTTTATATTATTTACATCTTTCTATTCTGTACTTAACTGTAAATTTTGCATTACAGTTGCAGTTATTTTCTTTGCAAACATTGCATTGCAAAAATACATTTTCTGCCAAAGGTCTTAATGTAGACGCATCGTTTCTCGCTACAGTGAGTAATCGAGAGTTTGCTTTAATTAATACATGTTTATTATTTTATCGTATTTTTAGATGGCGGGTACAAGCGCTACATATATGTTAATTTTGCTGCAATTCTGGATGATTTCACATTCTTGCGACGGAAAATCTTCAATCAATAGTACATGAATAATATAATTTTATATATAATCAATTATTATTTGCAATAGCTTTGCAGAGGTCCTGAATAGAGCAATCGTCGTACTTTACCGTCCAAGCGTACACCAACCTTTAAAAATAAAGGCGCGTGAGAGTCGATGGTGTAATAAAATATTTAACATTCTCACATTAAAGTACGTTTAAGTTTTAATTTGAGCCGTTTGAAAAATCTCTCACATATATCTTATACTTTGATGTTTAACAACATATATCAAAAAGAAACAAATCTTGTTTCTCTTGTTGAATCAAAGTTCTGAACAATTGTGATACGTCTTGTGTGAAAAAATCTCATATGGCATATGGAATTACGCGTTTGAGTTTCATTTAGCAAAAATAATTTGTTTAAAGGCTTAAATTCTCCTTGAGCAGCGTAATGTGTTTACGGTAATAATAACACTTTTTGATTTCTTATTTCCTTATGTTGCCGTTGAAATAAAAAAAAAAAAAACAATTACTTTGAGATATTTTCTTGTAAAGTACGTTATACTAGCTAATTTCATCAGAAATATATCAATTTATCTTCATCTAGCTAATTAGTTGAAATAAGTCTAATTGAGATAATATTATTGCTTTCACATTATAACTTAATTTATTAATATTACATCCGTCAGCTTTTTGTCTCCTGCAATAGTAAAGTTTTTCACAATATACGTATATAATTTAACAGTACGTTAGTGAGTATGCCAAAATTGAGTGTGGTTAATGTATTTTGTTCTGGTACACTCAAAAAAATTATTTGTAATTACGATTAACTCTGTATTAAATTCAAAAAATAAATATCAATGACAGCACATTTTTGATTAAATTGATGTACATTGATTCTTCCTTTATTGAACTACTATAATACATACGCGCACGAAAATTTCTATTATAAATATTAAATCTCAAAGTGGAACAAAAAGTATTCTGAAACATCCTGTATACACAACAAAAATGTGCAATACGGAATTGGTAAATTTTTAAGAGTTACAAATTTATATAGATATTGTGCAATTAATGCCACCTGCTTTAAATATGTCAACATGATTC